GACCAAAAAAATCAATAGTTTTAACACCAGAACTTCTCTAAGATGCAAAGAGAAGCCATCAAGTCAGGCCTACTGGTGCGCATCTGGGAGGCTGGGAGGTGCTCAAATATGAAGCCATGTCTACAAATCAATAGGAAAAAATGACAAACTCCAATCAAAACTGGGATAAATGGCACTTCACAAAGGGACAGAGATGTTCAGGGGAAAAAAAAAAAACTAAAAGCAACTCTTCTACACCACTATGTATAAGAGAAATGCACACCGGGGCCACGATGAACCCCCACATGTCCAGGCTGGCGGAAGCTGAAGACTGGCAGAAAGTCAGGCCAACTCCAATTCCACACCTTGCTAGCGGAGTGCAAAATAGCTAACTGGTTCGTCCTGTCTTGTTCTCATACCCTACCCCCACTGAACTAGGGCCCCTGCACTGACCTACACCCCCAGCCCATTGGCTGATTACAGTCCACGGATGGAACCCAGGGCCTTCACACGGACCTACATGCCAGCCTTTTGGTTTGTTTTAATTGAGGCAGGGTTTCACGACATTACTAAGTTGCCCAGGCGAGCTTGTGATCCTCCTGCCTCACCCTTTCAGGATGCTGGGATTACAGGTGTGCCTGGCAGCAGTTTCTAATAAAATTAAACATACTTTCTATACGATGTCCAACAATATCACTCATCAGTACTTATTTACCTAAGGGAAATAAAAAACGTAAGTTCACAAGAAGTCTTGTGTAAGAATGTTCAAAGCAACTGAACATTTGCAAAATAGCCCCAAACTGGAAACCACCTCAAAATCCAACTCTTTTTTTTTGTCTGTCTTTTTGAGACAGGGTCTCGCTATACAGTTCAGGCTGGCCTTGAGCTCACTTGGTAGCCCAGGCTGGTCTCAAACTCGAAATGATCCTCCTGCCTCAGCCTCCTGCGTGCTGGGATTACAGGTGCACAACACCACGCCCAGCTTCAAAATCCAACTCTAACTAATGGATAAATGAACTACGGTATACAAGGGGTGATCAAAATATACAGTGAATATCCAAATTTAAACAAAAATTACATTAAAAGATATGCTGCCATTAATATATCCCCCTCTACTTTTTTTTGAGGCGGGGGACAGGGTCTTGCTGTGTAGTTCAAGGTGGCTTTAAACTCACTAGGTAGCCTGGGCTGGCCTGGAACTTGTGGTGATCCTCCTGCCTCAGCCTCCCAAGTGCTGGGATTGCATGGGTGCACCACCATCCCCAGCATTCTTGCCACTTTCTGAAACTGTTCTGAATGAAGTTCTCTTCATCAAAAACACAGTGAACATTGTTGGCGAGTGCCACCCAATGGGAAGGCAAGGCTGACACAGAAACATTACAATGTACCCTCTTTTGCCCTTTTCACTGGATCTGGCACTGTGCAACTTCTGGCTCTTCCCTAAATTAAAATGACCAAAGGTGAACATTTCAAATTGACACAGGCAGCCACAACACTGCAACTAAAGGCATGAAAGAGAACTTCGGAACTGCTTTAGAAAATGACTAGAAGGTGGGGGAGATAGCTCAGTGGCATAGCGCCTACCTGGCGCTGAGGTCCTGAGTTCAATTCCCGGTACCGGTACCGGTACCAAAAAAAAAAAAAAAAGGGGGGACAGGAACTATGAGATGAATGTGTTCAAAGTAAGGGAGAGAGCCGGGCATGGTGGCACACGCCTGTAATCTCAGTACTCAGGAGGCCAAGGCAGGATAATCATTGCACGTTTGAGACCACCCTGAGCTACAAAGTGAGTTCAAGGTGAGCTGCATAGTGAGCTGCATAGTGAGACCCTATCCCAAAAAAAAGACAAAAAAAAAAAGTAAGGGAGAGCATTTTGAGGGGATTAATGGCGATGTGTCTTGTGCGGAAATAAATTTTTAAAAGTTTTTCAACATTCACTGCAGCATATTCATAGAACAAATTATTCAGCCATAAAAGGACTAAGCTACTTATACACAGTTACACTAAGTGCAGGGAGCTTGACATAAAAGTGTCAGAGTATAATTCCACATATAAAGTCACCTACCATTGACATAAGGGATGAAGTAATGAGGTCGGGACTGGCTAGGGAGAGGCACTGGAGAACTTCTGGGATTTTGGAAATGTGTGTGGGTCACGCAGGCATCAACTGAATGAACTGTATACAGTAACTGTGACTTTCACTGTATGTGCATTACGGTTCAATCAAAGGAAGGAAAAGATAAAGACAAAAATGAGAGCAATCTTCCATTCTTCCATCTGGTAATCTGAGCAACGTACCTGAGGATAGGGGTATGTAATGTAACAGCCACCGTTAATTCCTATTATTTTGTCTCGAAACCCTGTATCACTTTAAATGTGCTTGCTTTGATTTGTTTATGTTTGTGATACTGGTATGCTGTTACTGTTCTATTTTTTTGTTTGTTTCTCATTTACTACTCTCTTTAAAATAAAAATAAAATAAAATTTAAAAAAAGACAAAAATGACCTCAGTAACTACCTGAAGACCACGGTCACCCCACTGAAAACTTTTGTTATTTCAAGGCAGAAAACAAAATACAAACACAACTTTAAGAGGAAAAAAAAGAAAGAGGACAGACTATAACATCACAAACCCACCAAGGGACCTTGTAATTTACCTTGGTTTTCATCCATAAAAATGGGAATAAGACACGTGACTGCGCTAGGGATACACAAATGAAGCTTCTGCAAAGCATCTAGTATAGCATGCGGCACCCAGGGCTTAGTAAAAGGCAGCGGTGGGAAACAACCAGCAATAGGAGCACAAAAATTCCTGTCTGCCGGTTCAGCTTAAGCTCTCCCCTCTCTTCCTGGAAACTCTCCCCCTTTCTACAGGGAGTGAGGGGGAAGAAAGAGGGGGCCTGGCTCCTAGCCACAGGGGCAGTTTTACAAACGTTCATAGAGATCAAAGGTTTTAGATAACCAACCCATACTTCAGATATGAGGGAAACGCTAATGAAAAGTCTAAATCTTTTTTGACATTCAAGACTTTTTGGGGGCTGGGGATTTAGCTCAGCGGCAAAAGCGCCTGCCTGGCAAGTGCAAGGTCGTGAGTTCGGTTCCCGGTACCGGAGAAAAACCAAAAAAAAAAAAAAAAAAGACTTTTTGTAACGTTAAACATAATTTTTACCCAATGAACAATTATACTCCTAGGTATTTTACCCAAGGGGGCCAAAAAAAGTAATAGTGTGACCACAGCAAGTCTTGTGAAGTACTATTCACTGCCCAGTACTTAAACCCCACTTCTCATAGAGATTTATTTACCTACAGGAGCATTCTTTTTTCCCATCCTTGCTAAGCTTTCCACCTTTAAAAAGGAAACCCCATTTCCACCTTTCCAACTGGAGGACAGCAACACACCCCAACAATTGCTTCCCTCGAAGAGCCTGCTCCAGGCGTGGACAGACCAGGCTGAGTACTCTCCTTTATCACACCGATACGGTCAGGCTGGATTACGGCCAACAACCAGGCTCAAGTAGATTTATCTTTCCTGTAGATCACGGAGCACATTTGCCTAATGCAGTGCCCTAGATTTTACAAATGACATTCACTAATGTACTTGCAAGTCTGCAGACTGGAGCATTTTCAAGGAGCACACAAGACACTTGTATAAAATAGTCTGCCCTGATCATCAATAAAAGCACTATTTTGAAGCCACTTACTATGCTTTCGCTCTGACTTTAAATTTCTGTAAATAATCTCTTGGCTTTCAGAAAAGTCAGCGTTAAGCCAACACACTGACGTTCAATCTTCATTCACACTGCGGTAAAGACTCCATGCACACCAAAGGTCTGGTTGAAAGCTTTTAAGGCCAAAAATTTCTATTGTGTGGCCAGGGCTGGCGCAGACTAAAGGAAACCCGAAACTGAACAGCAGAGTCGGGTGTGGTGGTGCATGCCTATAATCCTAGCACACTGGGAGGCGGAGGAAGTGGGAAGGACCACAAATTCGAGCTCAGCCTGGGCAACTAGCTTAGCAAGACCCAGTCTCAAAATAAAGTTTTGAGGATGTAGCGCAGTGTGAAGGCCCTGGGTTCAACTGGTACTGCGGGCGGGGGGCGCGGGGCAGCAGAGTGAACATCGTACTGGGGTAAAAATGATTCCTTCAAGGTGACACCGCAGGGTCGGGCATTCAGCTCAGTGGCGCAGCGCCTGCCTGGCAAGCATGATGTCCTGAGTTCGATTCCCACCACCAAGGAAAAAAAAAGAACGCAGAAGTTTTCTATTCAACACAACGTCCATACTACGTAAGAAACTATCAAGTATTAAAAATGAGCCAACAAAAGCCTCCTGTTGAACGAGATAAGAATGCACTCTCTCCCAAGTCCTATCTGCACCCCGCCCATTTTCAGGCATTTCCTCGTGCTGCCGCGCTGGTCCCTGCGAGGAGGCAGCCGGGGAGGAACTCTCCACCACGCAGTCACAAAACACAAAATGCAGGACTCCGCTCAGGTCGACGCAGTCCACGGGGACGGCCCAGGGCAGCGCTCCCTACCAGTACGACCTCAAACGCGCCGATCCCAGGGAAAGCCCGCACGCAGACGCGCCGCGCGCCGGCGACAAGGCGCAGGGCCGCCCGGCCGGG